CCCCCAAAACCCCAAAACCCCAAAACCCCAAAATTCTGAGAATTTTGAATAAATTTTGCAAAAAATGACAGAAACTCAAGTAAAAATGGAAAAAAATGATGAAATCAGAGACACAGATAATCTGTGTGACAAAATTAAGGTGCATAAGGATTATTCATACAAAGACTCCTTTGATGAAGTCTTTACTGTGAAATACGACCCTTCAGACCAATTCCTCGCCTATGGATGTGAGGATGGGATAATTAGACTCCTTGATTTCGGTGATTACCAGCTCGAAGAAGTTAAAGATAGCAAAAATGTACACCCTAAGATGAGACTTAAAACAACTATTTCAAGACTAGATGCTTTCAAGAAAGAGGCTAAGGGTCTTAAGAGCCCAATTACCTCCCTTACTTGGAGAACTGGTGAAGTCACCAATCCAGAAGACAGGCATTTGGTAGCTTGCTCTTCTAGTGGAAGCATCTACACATGGAAGCCGGCTGCTGATGAGCTGCTAAATTACATAAAAGAAGATAATGAAATCTACTGTACGGATTATTCTCATTACAAAGACATATTCGCAACAGCAGGAGGAGATTTCAGGATCAGGATTTATGACTACAATACCCAAGAAGTCCTTCAGTCCTTCAGTGGAGCTTCAGATGATGTTCTTGGACATTCTAACAGAATTTTCTCATTAAAGTTTCACCCGAATGACTCAAATATCCTTGTCTCTGGAGGGTGGGATAACCTGATCTTCATTTGGGATCTGAGAAAGGAAAAGCCAGTCTCACATATCTTAGGGCCAAACATCTCTGGAGAAGCTGTTGATATCTGTGGGGATCATATCCTTGCTGGAAGTTATAATAATGAAACTAATCTCTACTTGATGAGTCTCTCAGAGCATAAAATTACCAAAGAAATAGAGTGGTATGATACAGAGGCATACAAGGAGCTCAACCTTGCTCCTCCTTGTGTCTACTCAGCACAGTTCAGTAAGCCAGATGCTTCGTATTTCATTGCAGGTGGCACTGCTAGGAATGAAGTCAGGGTCTTCAAAAACCTTGATAACTTCTCTAGCACTAAAAGTGTAGCTTGCATTGCCAATCTGAAGAGTGCATGCTTGTCAATTGACTGCACCAATACTCACAAGAACGGGTTTGCTTTTGGCTGTGCCAACGGAACTGTGAAATGCTTCAGCATCCAAGATGAAGCAGAGGAAGAGAAAATCTCTTAAATTTAACCAATTTTTCTAACATTTTGTAGCAGACTTTACTCAAGCTGGAGGACCCTTTCCTTTGACAAATTTTCATAGTTTCTAACAGGCTCAATCAAGCCTTCAGCTATACTTCTGCATATCCAAATTTTGGCTACCATGGCTGATTTGAGTTATTGGGTAGGTTAAGAGATTTCTAGAATTTTCACCAATAAATCTCTATCCAGATAATTCGAGAGTTCACTAAGAACATGAGATTCATGAAAGATCGCCAGTTCAATCGAAAAAAACAGCGTAGGGGTTTTGGGGTTTTGGGGTTTTGGGG